ATCACTCCATTTATCCATGTTCACAACGATCCAGACCAGAATATGTGAGTGGTGCGGAGCAGAAGTGGAAAAGGGAGTGCATTGGTGGGATTTCGCCTCAGGCAAAGCAAGGTTTTTGGAAAACTGGAGCATCTGTGTTTGCTTGGAGCAATCCTGAAGCACAGCCTGCGGCTTCTTGTATACAGCTGAAACTCAGCCGTGCTGGTATTCATTACAATAGCACTCTTGTTTGTCTAATATGTATCTGTATCTTTCATCTGCGATGAATAGCGTCAAAAACACAACCCAGTCTCATAAAAATACGTACCTCTGGGTACTTTTCTGCAACACCGTTTTTACGTACCTTACTGCACGTTTCGCCGCAGTTTCAAAGAGGAATGTCCACTGAGTGGCGCTAAAACACGGGTTCAATACGTGAACACTGGCACGTTTTTATTACGTTGATATATGTACGCATTGCTGTGTTTTTATTACGTTGCTTCAGGTACATATTGCGGCGGTTCAGAATTCAAATATCCGGGGACTGTCGCTAAAAGTTAATGCTCTATCGTGTTGAAAATATGCCCTACACCAAACCCAACCCTAAACCTACCCGATAGTGTTAACAAATGCAAAACTGATATAAAAACACATTTGTTGATGCAGCCGTGTCATTTGAACTTACTTATATGCAGATTTGAACCGTTTTGTCGCACTGTAGTTACACGGGATTCGAACCGGAGCTCCTTGCCTCTCAAGTACATCTCCGTACTCCGTGAGCTACCGAACAAACCTACCGTTGATGAAAACCCATTTATATGAAGCTGGATATGTGCGGTGCTAACGTTCAAAAGCATCAGTTTTCAAATCTCCCAGCATATTAATATTGTTTTGAAGTCATAACATGATATTCTTCAAGTAATTGTGTGAAAATTACGCTTTATTAATCGAAACTCTGTAAATGTGTGTGAAAAGGAATAAAAGGTGTCGGAGTTTTACTGCCTCTATGTTAATTTCTTTTGGAAACTGCAGTGATATGTACTTATTGGTACGTATTTCGCGTCTCGCGAAAATGTGCCCCCGGGTAAGTTTTTGCCATGAGACCAGGTTGCAATAACATCTTGTTATTATGGTATACAAAGTAGATGGTGGACTTACCTTTCCCCACACCACCAGTCTTTGCTGGTGTGCTGCTGTCCTTATAACACTGTACAAATGACTCTTCCCAGAAATCCCTTCACTCCTCCTGCCATTTTTGACTGAGGTTCTTGCACCGCAGTTTGCATTCATTGATCAGTGAGTTGTGTCCATTGGAAACCCACCGACAGCAATGAATGTTTATTGCAGTCATTAGTGGGCTAATACACCCATACTGTTCTTTCCAGACCTGTTTCTAGATTGCTCCGCTTACGTCGTTTTTTTGGCCACCCTCAGGCTACAGTCAACGGTCGATGGTTTGTTACAGAAGCTCAAAACTCACCGACAGCGTTGAATGTTCACCAAGGGACCAGCAAATCTTGTAGGACAATGGGCCTTTTAGTGTAGACCTACTGTAGAAGCACCAGGTGCGTTTTCTGTAGAAAGCTGATCAGAAGTTTTGCTTGAAGTTGGAATGGAATTAAAGTCAACATGAAATGGTGAAACTAAATAAACAAGATATTCAAAAAAATCGTTGGACAGCATTGCTTGGAAAACTAAAAACTCAACGATTTCGCTTTTTAAAGACCCCATGATATTGTTTCTGTGACTTTTAATCATGTTTGTTAGCATTTGTATGCTAGTTTACAAACAAGTTGAATGACGATGACTCATCCTGCACTACACAGATTTCTGTCCAATCAGATGCTCTTTAGAATACGAATGCCCCGCCCCCAATACCACCTGCAACTGACTAGCAAGTAAAATATTTAACGTCTCACCCAAACTTCCCGTTTCAACTGGAAATACATCAACACATGACTAAAAGCGGCATTCATTAAGCACTTTCATGGGGTCTTTAAGAAAATCTGAAGACTAGAATACGACAAACACATCATAACATGAGACTAAATACAATTGTGAGGTTAAAACCCAATAAACCTGAGCGATTCCTGGCTTTTACGGTTCTTTTAATGTCTCTCTCGATCTCGCCCTCTTTTTCGCTGTCTCTCTCTCTCCAGGCCTGTTCTCTTTACCTTGATCTGAACCCCAGTCTGTGTTTCCTGTGTGAGAGCTCTTTGAGGCAGGCATGCATTATTAATGCACGCTCCCATTTGACTGCTTCTCCAAACTACACAACAGATCCCGGCGACTTTTAAACACACTATATGCTGTCTTTTTTTCTCCACCCCCCGCACTCTCTTCTTTGGCACAGAAATCAAGAGGGCTGAGTATGCTGTAGGATTTCAAAAATCCCTGATTAGAATATCATGCGAGGTATGACAATGAAAAGAGAGAGTAAGTCTGTGCGGTTCTTTTGGATGCGGGTTCGTATGGATGGGCATTTGACATCATTTTATGGCACAAAGAAAGAAAGAAAATGTTTAAGGAAGGAAACGTTTAGGGCTGCAGAACTAATCAAATAGTCAAGGTTACGATTACGGCTGCAATTAAGCGTTTTTAGCTGGAATGGCTTTTAGCAGCCACAGACATGCCTGTTGAGCACAGGAGTCTTCAAAAGGGGGTACTTTTGGAGCCAATTATTGTTGGATATGTAACTAATTTTTGTAAAAAAAAAAAAAAAAGTGGGCAATACTTATCATCGTTATTGTGCATAAAACATCCAATATTGTATATTTAATTGTGCATTCCCTTATTTTTAAAATCCCTTAGATTGCCTTTATCTAACACTTCAAAAACATTAATAATTTAATAAAAGGTTAAATTTATTTTTTAGAAAATCTAAGAATATAACTATATTATAATGTTGTGATGCTTAAATTCACTTGTAGCATTTACAGTGATTTTTTTTGTGTGTGATTTATTTAGTCAAAATGGTTTAGAATTCTAATATCGTACATTTATCGTTATCAGCTATAGCATGAAAATAATTACTAGCTCATCAGTATCGACCAGAATTTTAATATTGGTGCATCCCTAACCTTTTGAAAAAAAGAACTGCGCTTAATTCTATTGGCTGTGCACTTGTAGTGTACTTAAAATCTTAAATGTATACATTAAAAAAACTGTACTTACAGATAATATTGATGAAACAAAAAGCCAGTTGAGTGTACTTAAAAGAGAGCATGCTTTCATGACTATATTTCTTAACACGCAAGTAAACTTTTAAAAAAGTGCACATTTTTGGGAGTAATTATGCAATTTAAATATAAAGATGTACTTAAGTCCTACTTAAGTGGTTTAACAAAAGGATACATTTTCATCTAATTGCAATTACGTGTCCAAAACAATACATTTAGATGCACTTGAGTATATTATTTTAAAGTATATTATTTTCAAACTAGTACTCTTTTTAAAAGTATGCTAATGTATTTTCACAAGGGTACCAAAAATGCAACATGAAATTAAAGATAAGAGGATAAAGATAAAGATAAACTAACTAACTGTCCCTCCAATATTAAAAGTACATGGCTCATTTTGATGTACAATGTACAATATCATATTAGTTCAAAGTCACATAAAACTGTAAACTTGCACGTGATTGGAATGTTATAGTATTGTTACATTGCTTGCTTTCTGTGTTTAATATCATTATAAACTAATTCAGTAAAAGCTAATTAATACAACTACAAAATCTATGATTTTTACCCCCCGATAATTACGCAACCCTAGCTGTATTAACGAATACCATTCAGATACTGACTTGAACTAGGTCTTTACTGAAACTAAGAGCTCTAGCGTTGGGTTATTGCACCTGGTTTCAGCTAAGTGGAACGGTTTAACGGCTGGTGGCCTGAATATGTGTGTGTTTGCGAGCAGACTCTGAACACACATGCTCACACCAACAACGGACGACTAGTGGACTGGTTGCACGTGTCTGTAAAGCCTCCCTCAACAGCAACGAATGCATCGTAGTCTCTCTATCCTCTATTAAAAATGCAAACACATTAGCACACGATCCTGATTTCCCTCATTTATCTGAAGCACGCTTGCTTAGAGCGTCGGACTGAAGTGCACTCGCTGTACATTTGGCACTATCGCTCTGTTCCAATAACCAGATCCAGGCCATGAAACATCTGGTTTGTAAAGCGGCGAATGGGAACTTCCCCTTCTGATAGCGCGTCCAGTCTTTCAGGCCGCGTTTCCTGCCTCCCGCTGCTAGCTGTGTGTGATGAGGGGAAAATAGACCTCAGGCACCCTCTTCTACTTTTACAAGAGTGTAGGAGTGCTGAAAATGACCAATTTCACACCACTGCAGCATTCATTTGAGCAGATATGCCCAGAGACTGCTTTAAGCTAAAAATGTCTCCTTTTTGAGGCTTTGAACTAGGAATACATTGATATTGAAATTTGAGATGATACTGATTGCCGAAAAATGTATATATTTATAGCCAGTATGACTGCAGATATTATACCGCAGTCTTACAGCAAGTTTTAAGAGCAATTAGGAAAATTTAGATATGTAAATATCATATCTATTCATATAATTATATGTGTATATAATGGAATATATATATATA